TAAGTTTATATAATAAATTAATATTGAATTGTTATATTGAATAGATAAGGAATTATTTTTAATACAGAATAAATGCTGAATTGTTATACTAGATAGATACAGAATTATTTTTGATACAGAATGAATACTAAATTGTTATACTAAATAGATATAGAATTATTTTGATACAAAATTGTTATACTAGATAGATATGAAATTATTTTTAATACAGAATGAATACTAAACTGTTATATTAAATAGATATGGAATTATTTTCAATACAGAACAAATATCAAATTGTATGCTGAATAGATATAGAATTATATATAATCTTTATAAATATATTTAAGCTTAAATCAAATATTATTTACAATAAAAAAAGCAAATTCATGAATATTTATACTTTTATTATTATACTTTTCTTTAACTTAATAGTTCTTCTTTACTATAACTACACATCTTATACAACAAGTTAATATTATTTTGACAGATATCAATCTAAATTAAGCAAATAGTTTTTCTCTATAGAATTGATACTGGTATTTTATTCAATCAGAATGTGCATCACGTAAATCATATTTATTTTTTAAATTTTTTTATTTTATTTTAAACTATAGCAGTCATGTTGTTTATAGGTGCAGATAATTATTGCTACATTATTTTGGATGGGTGCTGGTGTTCAAGTTTTGTTGATAAATAATTAAGTCATAGCTGTGCTGCTGTATTTTATTCTTTTATTAAGTTCTGATTGTTTGTTGTTTAGTCATTGCTGGTACTGCTGAGTAGACATCGCATTAGTATTAGTAATTAGGTTGTTGTTAGTAAGTAATAAGATTGTAGCTGGTGCTACTATATTTTGTTTTTGTTCTGCCACTAATTAAACTGATGTTGTTGATTAGTCATCATTGGTACTGAAAAGTAAGTTGTCATTAATACTAATTAGGTATATACTTAAATTGTGGTTAGTGCTGTTGTATTTTGTTCTTTATAGGTCATTGTTTTAGTTACCATTGAAGCATAGTCATTAGTACAGGTGATTAGATCATGATTAGGTCATTGTTAGTAATTATCTTGTTAACTATATCATTAATACTAGCTGTAAGATTTTTTTTTATTTTTTTTTTTTTTTTAAATTCTAATTGATATAAAAAAGAAGTGCAGCTATTTCCATAAAAACAAGTTTCGTACTTGAACCCTCCCTTTCATGAAAATTGTATAAAGACTATCAGCCGATACTATACATCACAAATTTGACCAATAATACTAATATTTGTTGCAATTATTGCTATTTTTCTTATCTCGGTGTATATATTGTAAGGGGGACAGAATTCAAGTAGATTTGAAATTTCAAAGTTAAATTAGGGTTAGAGTATAGATGTACATATAGTAAAATCAACTTGAAAAATATATAAAATTCTGAATCCACTTAAGTTCTGCTTCTGCTTATAACATATAATTGATTGCAATTTATAAACTAGATTTTTTTATAAATTTTTTATTAAATAAAAACAATGATTTTATTTTTTAAATTAATGAATGTATATTGTCTAATAAAATTATTGCACATGACTTGTAAGATATTAGAGTACCAACAGGATGCGAGATCTAGATTTACCTATTAATTTAAACTCAAATATATTTATAAAAATTTTAAATATATTTGTCTAAATTAAATATATATTTATAAAATATATATATTTATAGTATATACTTAAGAAATTATACTGTACTACATATTACAAAACCCAAAATTTGGGTTTTGTTATTACTATTACTATATTTATTTAAAATAAAATTTTTAAATAATTTTATATATAAAAGCTTTTAATTAATAAGCAATAGTTGTTCTATAGTAAAATTAAGTAAATCGATCTAGTTTATTAAGTAAATATTGTTTAGAAGATCGAAATACATATATTTTGTAAGTTATTTATAAATTAAATAACTTTTTATTAATATGTTTTTAAATATTTGTTTAAATAAAAAATAAAAATTTTTTTAATAATAATATTAATTCAGCGTATAAAATAAAAAATTAATAATAAAAACTTATTTAATTTATATAAAACTTACAAAATATATGTATTTCGATCTTCTGAACAATATTTACTTAATAAGTTAGATCGATTTACTTAATAAATATTTGACTTTACTATAGAATAACTTTCAATTATTAATTAAAAAACTAAAATATTTTAAAATTTATTTTAAATAAATATAGTAATAGTAATAACAAAATCTGAATTTTGGGTTTTGTAATATATAATAAATATATTTAAATTTAAATTAAATAAATAGTATATTTAAAAAAGATATATATTTATAATAGATATACTTGTAAAAGTTTATTCTATTATTAAAAACTAAAATTTAATTTTTGTTATTACAATAAAATCTTTATAAATATATATTCGTAAATTAAATTTTAATAATATTCACTTAATAAATTATAATAAAATATTTTTTTAAGTATATATTATTAAAATTTAGATCTAAAAGTCTTTATTATATTAACAAGATCCGAATTTCGGTTTTTGTTATTACAATAAACATTTTATAAGTATATATTTTAAAGATTTTATAATTTGGTGCACTATGCACCGCAGTGCACCCCTGGTCATGGAGTATATAAACAGAGATCATCAATTGATAATCATTGATTGTTTTTTTTTTTTATACTAACTATAATTTTTTTTTTAATATTGTTTGGTTTGGTGGTCGCTATTTGCTCTTCTTACTGCTTGGAATTAGGTGGTTTCGAATTTGGATTCTGGAGTTTAAAACATGTTCAACTTGTGCCATTTTTCTTACCTGGTTGTTTTCTTGTTCATTTCGTTTGCCAGTCTCAGGTGAGTATTTTATGCTTCTTGTTTTATGTTTTCTTGGTTTTGAAACACGTTAAACTTACGCCTATTTCTCTTTCCTGTGATTTTGCTTGTCATTTGCCAGCTTGGGTGGGTATAGTGCCTGGATCCGGTTTACAAAATCTGGATATATCCGGATATAAAGAGGATAACGGATATTTATTTTGAATAGAGGATTAAAAATCCGGATATTATTTTTCGAAGTACCAAATCCGGTTTTTATCCGGATATAATGACCCATATAATAATTCGATCAAATGCTGTGTGTTATCGAGGCAAAATTAGGCTAGGCTTCTCTACTTGAGGCGTTACAATTTGACGAGTACTTTTCTTTCACTACTTTATTGTTTATCAACTAACACTAAACTAACACTACAACAAACAAATAACAATTTTATTTATTTCACAGCGGCTTCTTTATTATGATCTTTGGCCCTTCTCGGACATACCAAAATATAATTATATTAATGCCTACTAACTAATTCTCTTTTTTTATCAGGCTTTTCCTAACAATTTCCACAGCCCGATTGTTCACCATGTCGCCACTCTGAAACCTAGAGGTGTGACCCGATCAATTTTGTTATATAGAAAAACCAGTTTTTCTATATAGAAAAATTGATCGGGTCACATCTCTACTGAAACCTAATTGACATGCATTCGAACCATGTCCGATGTTGTGCATAAGCCTTGTCGATATTGTTCGATCGTGGGGCAAACGCATGCATGCACTCGAACAGGTTTTCAGGGTACGATCATCGATCACGTTCTTTTTGGTCACGGTGCATTTTGCCCGTGACAGTGTAAATGATCTATCCCCCCTTTCTGGTTAGTTCATAATCTAATTTATATATTTTTTTTTTTGCGAGTTCTAATGGTCATTGAAGACTACAAAGCAACTCAATATTTTCAATACATACTACATAATATAATTATTTATATCTGCAGTATCTATTAACCATTAGAATAACTTCATTTTCAGTTTCAGTACAATAAATTTATCAAGAATTCTGTATGCCTTAGCTGAGACTTATCGAAGAATGACTATTTTAAATCATTCTGATATGTGCTAAGTGATTTTTGAGATATTTGCTATGCCACAAATCTATTAGTTTGATAAATATAATCAAATTCGCATTACTTTGTTGTAAAATGTACATTTAAATTCAACAAAAAGAAAAATTTTTAACAATTATTAAATTTTTTCATTCGAATTTAAGCTTATTATTGTATATTCAGTAATTGATTATTTTACAATGTAAGTTAATATACTTTCAGTTTTTTGTTATCAATTCTATTTAAATGCTTATTATTCTAGAAAAAAAAGAAAACCCTATTTAGGTTGTCTTTTTTGATTGTACAGTAACATGGGCAAGATATAACATGACCAATAAAACTGTAACTAGAACGTTATGACTCAGCGAACATTCGTACGTACGTACGTAGGGATGTTAAAACGATCTATGATCTGATCTTTGGTCTGGTTTATAAACCGAGATCTGCAATTGCGCTATTGAAATAATTCTAATTCTGGTTAGACTGGACCATCAATCCTTGATCTCGTGGTCCAGATCGGATCGATTTAACATCCCTATACGTACGTATGTATGTAGAATGATTTATACATCCGATTGATGCATGCAATCAAAATTGAATGAAACATGCATAATCGCCCATGCATACGACCAGGTTAAAAGTGAAACATATCCAAAAGGTGTAGGTTTCAGGATGGCAAGGTTAAAGGAACGAATTGGAAGGATTTGTTACATTAGTAAAAAAAAAAAAAGGTTTAGTTAGTGTATAAGGCGGAAAGGACCAAAAATGAGTAGATAAAGAAAAACCTACCCTATTGAGTATCTAAGAATGATAAAAGGAAGAAAGTGGTGTGAAAAACGTTGAGTAAGGATCTAAAAATAGAATAGCTAGTGAAGATATATAAAAGCAGTGCTAAAATTTCAATAAAATACTTATCTTTTGTAATTCCCAAAGTAATTGAGTTGAAAATTTCCTTGGCATAGTGGGAAAGCATTCGTTAGTGCTTGATCCGTCTTAGTAAAAACACAATAAAAAAAAACCCCCCAAATACTTGCCCAAGCCTTTTAAACACACCTCTAAGTGAACTATCCTATTCTTTAACCCGGTTTAATAATAACAAACAAGATGTCAAGTATTAAAAAACGAAAATCTAAAGACTTAACTGATTCTAATTCAATATCAAATTCTGATACCGATCCTGAAACCCTTCCTGAAAACCTTAGTACTTCTAGTGACGAAACGTTAAGTGGAGACAATATTAGCACAGATCATAATAATAACACAGATTGTACAGATCAGTCTGATGAAGATAATGGTTCCATTATTAAAACTAAACCACGAAAAAATAGTAGTTGGATTTGGCAGTATTTTCGCAGGAGGCGTCCATCACGAAAATGGAAAACACGTGCAAATTGTACCGTAATCATAAAAACTAAAAAATCACCAAATGGACGAGAATGTGGTCAGTTAGTTAAAACTCAAGGTTCGACCGGTAATTTTCAAACACATTTAAATACACATGGAATTACCAAACCTACTAAAATTACAAATACAACTACACAACCAACAATCACTGAAATGTTTTACCGTGCTACTAAACAAAATTCCCATCAAAAAGAGACTATCGATCGTGCTTTGGCAAAATGGATAGTTACGAACTTACAACCTCTTTATGTCCTACAAAATGAAAGTTTTATTGAATTTGTTCATGCGTTAAACCCATATTATGAATTACCATCTGATAAATCTGTAAAAGCGCTAATTCACAAAAGTTTTAACTATTCATCAGATTGTCTTAAAGTTCTTTTTGCAAAAGAAATTAAAACATGTGGACTGACATGTGATTTTTGGACCTCCCGTTCTAAAAGTGGTTATATGGGAGTTACGTGCCATTTTATTAATTCTAATTATGAATTAAAAGAAGCCTTAATTGCAATTAAACTTGTTTCATATCCTCATGATGCTGTAACTATTAAGAATGAATTAGAGAATATAATTGATAACTGGGGGCTTTCTGATAAAGTGATTTCAATTACAACTGATAACGCCACTAACATGGTAAAGGCTATTAACTTAATGGAACATGTGGAACGAATTCCTTGTGCAGCGCATACACTCCAGCTTGCAATTGGTAAAGAGTTAAAACCTGCTGAAGTGTTGGTAAAACGTGCAAAACGATTAATTAATTTCTTAGCTACACCTAAACAAAATGAACAATTACAACAAGCACAAGAGTTATTAAAAATCTCAAAAGAACAAATTGATGATAATGAACAAAAATTTCTTCGTGCGATATCTGATACTCCAACGCGTTGGAATTCTTCATATATTGCATGGAAGCGACTCCTTCAAATCAAACGTGCTATTAAATTAATGGAAGTAACTATGAATGCAGATACTAATTATAATATTCGTAAAGATGCAATTCATTTAAAATCATTGATGATTACAGAAGAAGAATGGAGAGTTCTTGAGGAACTAACTGTACTTTTGGCCCCTTTTGCTAAGATTACCGAATTACTAGGTGGTAGTAATTATTCTACACTTAGTTTTATGTGGCCGGCTATTACTACTCTTACTAGAAACTGTGAACCAATATCAGCAAATATAGATGAAGAAATTGATTTAATAAGTATATTAACTATTTTTGATGAGGAAGAAGAGGAAGATATTGTCGATTTGGATGAAGAATTAGAAATCATTACTACTGCAGATGGAAATAAAATCAAGCTTAGTCAACCTCAAGATACAGATGATTTAGTAGAAAAAGTAAAAGAAAATTTACATAAAGCGTTATGTTATTATTGGGACGCACCACTTAATAGTTCACTGATTGCAATGTTACTTGACCCTCGCTGTAAATCAATGAACAAACTTGATAGTTGGGAACGTGATAAGGCCATTAGTCTTTTGCGGGAAGAATATAATTTACTTAATACCGAAAATGAAACTGTTACTAACTTACAGGCTGAAGAACAAAATGAGAGTCAAATGAATCTTTTTTCAATAATGTTCGGATTGGATACAACATCAACACCTCATAAGAATGAAATAGACGAATATCTTAAGATTGATCAAGTACCAGTTGCAACCGATCCACTTAATTGGTGGAAAGGTATTCAACAAAAGCTTCCAACCCTTGCTGGTTTAGCACGCAAATATTTGGCCATGCCTGCTACATCAACACCAAGCGAACGGTTATTTTCAAGCGCAGGTAATTTAATGACGTCAAAGCGCACATCAATTAACACCAACTTATTTGAAAGAATCCTTTTCCTTAAACGAAATATTAACATCTTGGGTACTATATTTGAATCTCAATTAAAATAGCGTATATATAAAAAAGGTTAGTAATTAATGAATTTAAGACTTAAAATAAGTTCAGTTACAAATATTCTCTAAAAACACCCTCTTCAAATGCATATGTTTTTAAAATTTAAATATGATCCTGAGATGCATATAAAGTATCTTAAATTGGTATAATATCCATTTATCCAATGCGAAGACTAGATAAATATTAATTGAAAGATTATGATTTTTTTGTTTGATTATTTTATTATTTTTATCTTTTGTAAATAGCTTCAATTTATTATACTATATCCTATATAAAGATAGCAGATAATTGCAAGCCATCGGAAGTGGCTTTAGACCTTTAAACCATGAATATTTTAAAAATATATATGTCTGCTTCCCTTTGAATAAAGAACATTTTTCCTCCTGTAATAACAATTTATTAATATATTACATTAATTCTGTCCTTAATGCACAATAATCTTACGTATACGTATGTATATTCATTCATAATTACTGAATTTAGCACATTTAAAGAGTACCGGTACGTTGTAAAGGGCAAGATCGACATTGCCAAAAAAAGTTTGAATTTCTGGAATTCAGGCAACCTTTATATGAGAGCTGCACAGAAAAAATCTGTAAGTAAAATTTTATTCGTTAATTACCATGTCGATCATAATGAATTGGCACTGGGGCGTGACCAATCATAGGGTATGACAAATAAATATTTACTACTTAAACTATATAATAAAGGATTATTTGTCATACACAATAATTGGTCGCACCCCAGCGCCAAATCGTTAAGATCGGCATTGTAATTAACGAATAAAATTTTACTTACAGGTTTTCCCTGTGTTACTGATTAAATTAGTGATCGATCCATTTCATACATACGTAATGGATTTCATACATACGTAATGGATTTCAGCATCCATCAGTGCTGAAATAAACCACGTGATCTAGTGACTTGCCCTGATTTGTTAAATTCGATCACAAGACCCAACCGCAGTACCTACAAAAAGAAAAAAGTTAAAGTATTGGCGAAAGTGCTGAAAAGAAATATATGTTACTTAACAAAGAATAATAGAATACTTATCTGAACCCGGAAATACCTTCTCAAGCCTTCCTAACCTTAATTACCCGGACCAAGTCTTTTTATGCCTTATCGAAGCCTTACCACTATTAGGAGTAGTAGAATAAGATTAGTATGTATTAGTGTAGAGTTGCTCTTATTTTCGCCCGGCGGCTATTTCGATGCAGCGCAATGTACGTACGTATCGCAAGAAATTTAAAAGTTTCAATGTCTCTATATAGAATAATGCATAAACTGGCAGCACATTGAAATCAATTTCTTAAACTATCTATCTCAATAACAATTTTTGTGCATAGAATTATACGCCAAAAATAATAGCAACGATTTTATGCGTACTAAAATAAGCCGCTACCGAATTTAGCATATCTCCAATGTGTCGTCCATATAAAGTGATTGTGGTTTTTAGATTTCCCGCACCGTACATATGTACGTACGTACGTACATATTCAAAATGAAGTTTTTTAGAAACGATTGTTTGTGCAAGATATCATTTGCGTTAGTGGGGTTGAGAAATAAACATGTATATGTTTTGCCTCAGATTAATACTCGCGTCAGATGTCAGATGCACAATGATAATTTGACCAGAGTTAACAAATCAGCCTAATCCTGACCCTAACTCTATCCTTAACTCAGGCCAAAGTGACATTTGACACAAGCATAAATCTGAGGCACAACATATATATGCACAATGCTTGTAAATTAATTAATGAAATACTGTAAATTCAACATTTATTCTGCAATTATCTATATCAATCTATGTATGCTCAGAAATTAGAAATAATTGAACAAGTAATAATATATAAAAAAAATAGATATGTTTAGTCTCTAAGCTGGTTTTTCACTTCGTTCCTATATGTTGATAATAACATGTTTAGTCATGCTTACTAAAAATTAAGAATAAAGTGGTTTAAAATATGCAATGTTTTAAATCACGTTTATATTAACTTTTGATTCAAAATATAAAGTAACTTGGTTATCATATGAATGTTGCTGAAGAAAAACCTTATATCAGGCTTTCAATTATACTTTGTACCAAAAATTATCTAATTTATTAGGGTTGTGTCAGGTACAAAATATTATTGAAGGGCTTTTTTTGGCGGCACTTATATGTTAAGATAATTACAAATATGTAAGAATAGCAGTCATCATACCTTAGAAATAATGTTATAATTAAAGTTAAATTTATCCAATCGGATATAGTGTCAGTTTAACCTTTAGCTGTTACAATCACTGATGTTTTAAAACATATTTTAAAACAATTTAAAGTCATCTCTTCTAAAAATTTTTAGAATTGAAATCCGGATATAATCCGGATTAAAAACCGGATAAGCAATATATATCCGTTTATAAATCCGAATTAAAAAATATAAAAGAGAATACATATCCGGATATCCGGTTATATATCCGGATCCAAGCATTAGGTGGGTATTTTTGTGCTTTTTGTTTTTTATTTTTATAGCTTTGAAACATGTTAAACTAACATTCATTCTCTTTTCTGGTAGTCTTCGCTTGTCGCTTCGTTTATCCTTTCTGATAGTTTTCGCTTGTCACTTGTTTCTATTTTTCTAGCTTTGAAACATGTTAAACTAAATCCCATTCTTTTTTCACTTGTCGCTTTCATTTTTTCTTTCTAGTAGGTTTCGCTTGTCACTTTTATTTGCTGATCTTTGGTGGGTATTTTGGCTTGTTTTCTGTTTTCCTGATTTTAAATACATTAAACTCACGCCCATTTCTTTTTTCTATGGTTTCGCTTGTCTCTTTCATTTGCCGGTCTTGGGTGGATATTTTTGTGCTTGTTTTCTGTTTTTTTTTTGGCTTTTAAAACATGTTAAACTAACGCCTATTTCTCTTTTTTGGTGGTTTTCGTTTGTCGCTTGTCAC